GCAGCCAATGCTGCTGCTGGTTCTGCTGGGGGCAGCCTATGCTACTGCTGGTTCTGCTGGGGGCAGCCTATGCTGCTGCTGGTTTTGATGGGGGGGAGGAGTCTATGCTGCTGCTGGTTCTGCTGGGGGCAGCCTATGCTGCTGCTGGTTCTGGCGGCAGCCTAAGCCGCTGCTGGTGCTAGCGGCAGCCTAAGCTGCTGCTGGTTCTGGCAGTGGGGAATTGTTCTGGGCGGTTCTGGACGGAGCTGGGCGGTTCTAGGCGGTCCTGGACGGTCCTTGGTGGTTTTGGACGGTTCTGGACGGTCCTGGGCGGTTCTGGACGGTCCTGGGCGGTCCTGGGCGGTTCTGGGTGGTTTTGGAGGGCTGGTAGCAGTCGAAGTTGGCGGACTGCAGGGCGTACAGGGAGGGGACGCAACGGGGCTGGCGGACAGGGCTGGCGGGCGGGGCTGGTGGACGGGGCTGGTGACGAGGCTGGCGGACGGGGCTGGCGACGGAGCTGGCAACGGGGCTGGCGGACGGGGACGCGACGGGGTTGGCGAACGGGAGCGCAACGGGGCTGGCATACGGATATGGCGGATGGAAGGGCGATGGGGAGGGGACGCGACGGGTAGGGGAAGGGGAGGCGTCGTAGAGGGGATGCGATGGGGAGGCGACGGGGAGGCGACGGGGAAGGGACGCGACGGGGAGGGCTGCGGGGCGACGGGCTACGGGGGGGGAGGGAGAGTGCCCTTTAACGCGCGATTTGGGGGCCCGCGGGGGCCTTCCTAGGTCGGGACGTGGGGGGGGGGACCCGCGGAGGTCCTTCTAGCTCGCGATTCGGGGACCCGCGGGGACCTTCTTAGGTCGCGACGTGGGGGGGACCCACGGGGGTCCTTCTAGCTCGCGATTTGGGGGGCCCGCGGGGGCCCTCCTAGGTCGCGACATGGGGGACCTGCAGGGGGTCCTTCTAACTCGCGATTCAGGGACCCGCGGGGGGTCTCTCTCTAGCGCGCGATTCGACGGGGGAGGGGGGTGTGGCTAGCGCTAAGGGGTGACGGGGCACAACGGGTAACGCATTATTTACGGCGAGCGCGGGGCGGTGGGCCCATGGGAATCGAACTGCTCTATACCATATCAACGAGGTAACGAAATAATCAAATGAGTAGAAACAAGCAGTACAAGAGAGCATATAGCAAACCCTAAGGGGGTTATACCCTCTACAACATAACTCAGTGTAACACCTAGACTAAACTAACAAACTATAACAATTATAGTTTGGCAGATCTCTCCTACGTTGCAAGCCAGCTCGGACAGTACATGCGCCGACAAGAATGGGAGAATATGCTAGACCTACATCGAGCACTTTCGTACTTCATCTCTACTCCTCACGTCGGGCTCACCTACACAGCCAACTTAACAACTACTCTCCAACTAAAGGGCTATGTGGATGCCGATCACGCGGGAGATGCTGATAACAGGCGTTCTCAAGCAGGCTCTGTATACCAACCTGAGCATGACTCATCTTATGTAACTCCCAGAAGCAGGAGCTCATTGCTCTTTCGTCAATGGAAGCTGAATCCATCAGCTTTACCTGATGGAACTCCTGCATGAAGTGAAAGTGACAATGAACGGGCACTTCACGTTAACATGCTACTACAAGAGCGCGATAAAGCTCGCGAACAAACCGGTCTTCGTGAACTGCACGAAGCACATCGCACTCCGTTAGTTTTTCGTCAAGGACGAGATTGATAAGGAAAAAAAACAAACTCAGCAATTGCCCGACCGATGATATGGCAGCACATTTTCTGACAAAAAACTTGCCACGTTAGAAGTTTCAGGATTGTGCGGACCTCTGCGGGATCTTGAAAAGGTCCCACGTGGCTCACCTTCAGGAATGAAGGGGAGTGTTGGAATAACCAAGGGTTATTTCACATTCCTGAAAGTTCTCCTTTAGCACACCTTTATAACGAAGCATCGCATTGTACCAATACCGAGTCAGCTCGTATTTGAGTACGGAAGCGAAGGTCAGCTGTCGCGGAGAGTCAACGGTCGCCGTTGACCACCTCGCAACCGTAATCGGAGATTACATGCCGGAACGCGGTAATTGTAAAGGATTGCAATAGCCAATGCATCTGTAGAGATGCATTCAAAACAGTTAAATAAGGAAATATACCCCTCATACTACGTGGCTAGCTATGAGAATGCTATATAAACCAATTGTAATGTTGCGTTCATCTTCTTGTTTCTTTCTCGCATATTATAAACGAATTCATTCAGATTTTCGCCGTCTGAACTTCATTTGGCGAGCATTATATATTTTTATCTTAGTGAGTAATATATATGAACAGAATATTTAGCAGAAATTTTACATCCTAATCAAATTCTGACCCAGAGGCTCATCTTATGACATGACATCCCCTTTCTTTCAAAATTTCAGGTTTGGGGCTTTTCATTCTACATATGTAAAGTCTTGTACGTTTGGAAGTGCAGAACTGTATCAGAACTCTATTCAACTTTAGTGCGCAGTGGCATAGAGTGCTAAATTTGGTACTGTAGAAGATGTACTGTTAGCGCGTAAGGCGGGTGTCCCCAGAATCGTGCACACCGCGGTTCCTTCGAGGATTAGAGCCAATGGTAACCCGAATTTGTTCATGGATCGAAAGAGTTTTTCAGGGTACAGAAATGGTTTCTCCTTGCGTGGTCTCGAAAGAATGGAGGTGTCGCTAGTGGCGTTTCCAAGACAAGTATGGGAAGAAGTACTAGGCGTTTCCACTCCTGGGATGAGGTGGACTTCAAAATTAGTCCAAAAACTCACTCCACTCATCCACCTCCCCCGAACCCCCTCGCGCGCGGTGCAGTTTCCCTCCACACCGGTTCGAATTTGTTTCGGTCTCGAAGTGCCCGGTGAAACTTGCACTCAATACTTGCGCATTCTTCCTGACTTGTGGCCAAAAGTTTGCTTAGATGGAAATGGGGAGCAATAGGGCAATGTGGTTTGAAGGGAAGATGCCCCTCCGCAACACGAGAACGAATATTCCATTTTGTGCCTCGCAGATGCGGCCACGTCATCATGCATCTTGGCCACACGATTCTCGTGAGAACCCGCCGGAAAATTCGTCCGCCCGTTGGATGAGTCGATTGCACATCCCAACAAACATCAGAATTGTTTTTTTGAGCGAGGGATCTGGCTCTCACAGAAAAGAACCCCACTTATTCCAATCCAGGTGGCATATTCAATGGTGTTTGTTTCCACGAATGGAATGAAGTGCGACGGGAACCAAGCGGGGCAGAACTAGCGCCTGAATCTACGACGCGATGCAAACGAACGAGAGGCACGCTTCGGCTGCATTCCAAGCTCCAGTCCCCGCACACTTCAAACTGAACTGCTGCTGATCACTGCAAATACAGTATCAGCAGCATCGATGCTGAAGCCTGTCCAGGTGCAGAAAGCAATTTAGTTCGGAAGCACAGAGCCTCCCTGGAATGGAAACTGCGCTGGGGATTTAGCAGGCTGCCAAATTTACGATTTTGGTGGCAAACAACCACAAGATCAATACTACTAAGCACACTGGCAGAATTGTGTAGCTCACAATGGATGCAGCATGCGAGTTTCGTTCTGAACGAGCCGCTGAGAGTAGTGGGGTTGAGAAAATGCTTCATCTAGAAAAGCTTCTGAATGAGCGGAAGAAAGTTGAAGCGTTTAAGAGAGAGTTGCCACTAGCATTGGCTTTGTTAAATAAAGGTACATCCCTGTCCCAGGCATCTCTCTCTTCTCTCCTTTCCTTGTTTTCCCCCTCTCTCACGTTTGCGTTTGACATCGGCACGGATCATCACTCACCCTAATTACGCATGTTTTGTGGTTCACCATCCTGCACCCCATCCTTGCAGCCATATCTGAAGCACGGAGGAGCATCGAGAGCAGCAGTCCCACAGGCACATCTGCCCGAGGCAGCACTGATCCAAAACGTGCTGCTTTTGCAGGTAGAGGCGATTCATGCAAGCAAATCCCATGCAAAGGTGGGCTGAGTTTGCCCGTGGTTGGAGGTTTTGGGGAAGTTGAGAGTAGCTGCGAGGATGGGGTGGGAAGGAGGGTGGGGAGAGAGGCGGTGGATGCGGAAGCAGAAGAGCAGAGAGACAATGAGGGAGAGAGGGAAAGGGTGAGAGAGGGAGATGAGGAGGTTGAGGGAGAAGAGAACGGAGATGGATATGGGGAGGAATCGGGGGGACCTTCTACAGCAAGGAAGAGAGACACAAGCATTGTGCTTGCATATGGGGATCATGTGGGAAGAAGTGGGGGAGATGGAGGGAGCAAACAGAATAATGGGAATGAGGGGAATGTAGTGGGTGGCCAAGTGGGGAGTGGGGGGGTTGTAAGACGGGGAAGGAGACTGGCAGCGAGTGCTGTTGAGGGGAGTGGGGGAAAGCGACAGAAGCACGAGGAGCCAGGAGGCGGAAAGCAAGTTTCAGGCACAGAGCACGCAAGAGGCAGAGAGCAGGAATTTGAGCCATTGGACTTGGCAGTCTCGCCGGTTTCGGAATACAGTGGAAGCGAGGAGCGCGGGGAGTGCGATGGCAGCGGGGTTCAACGAGACTGGCTGGTGGAGCTGCGAGGTCATGAAGGCACTTCTGAGCGGAGCAGGCGTGAGGGGAACATGCAGATGGGATCGGATGGAGAGGGTCAGATGCGCGCAAGTGATGAAGAACAGAATTTGTTGCTCTCTGCAGCTGGTCTCTCCCTTTGCCTTGGGAATTCCACCGCATCAATACGTGCTGGAAAGTTCTCTGGTGGTGGTGGTGATGTTGCTGGCGCTGCGGGTGCTCCCACAGCATTAATACATGCTGGCAAATGCTTCGGCGGAGAAACTATGGGGTGTGGTCGTGATGGTATTGGCGATGCTGCTGCCATGGGTACTGCTGGTTGTGCCGTTGCTGCTTCTAATGCTACTACCTTTCATTCAAAGGCTGTGAGCGGCATAAATGAGAAAGGAGGAGAGGCGGAAGCAAAGAGCAGGATGGGCGTGTCAGGAGGAAGCACATGCGGTGTGGGGGAAGTTCAGCTTGACGTGGGAAGGATTTGGAGCAGAGGAGCAAGGGAAGGACAGGGGGAAGGGCACAATGAAGGGGCGACCTTGCTGGATGGCAGTAGAGAAGTAAAGGAGAGTGGACGGGTGGAGCAACAAGGGGACGATGCTCCTTGTGCTGGTGGAGATGCGGCTGCTGCCGCTGCTGCTGTTGGTGACGTTATTGATGCTGCCGGCTGCGGTGCCGCTGGCTTTTCTGGTGCTGGTGCTGGTGCTGGCGCGTCCGGTGCTGCTGCTGGTGGTGGTGCTGGTGATGGTGCTGCTGATTCTGGTCTAGGAAGAATAGGGGAGGTGGGCAGTGGGTCCGGTTTAGGGTGGCAACAAAGGATGGTAAACCGGGTGCAGGTATCAACGAGTAATGATCGTGCCGACCGTGCGAATAGAGAAGGAGACCTCTCACAGCGGAGCAAGAGTAGGGAGGCAACGGAAAGGAAAAATATTAGGCTTTCTGAGGCACCGGAAGGCACATCTGGGGGAGGTGGATCTGCTGCAAACAGCCACGGGAAAGAAAGGGCGGTACGTGCATCATCAGAAAACCGAAGGTTGAGAGACAGCAGAGGAGTAGCAGAGGCAGGTACAAGTGGTGCAGGCTTAAGTGAGGCAGCGCACTCTGGTGGAAGAAGCCATGAGAGGGAGAGGGCCCAGCAGGTGTTGGCAGAGAGCCAGAGTGTGAGACGAGAAGAGAGTAGTGGAGGAGGGGAGCTCGAGGACGGCAGGAGATCGAGAAGTGATGAAAGCAGTGGACGGAGCGAGGAGGAGCAGAGAGGGGCCCTAGCTGTGAATCTGGGAGGGAGAGAGGGAGTGGAGAAGACGGAGGAAGCAGAGGGGAAGGGGGGGGTGGAGAGGCGAGAGGGCGCGGAGGAGAGAGGGGGAGCGGCGAGGAGAGGGGGAGTGAAGGGGATAAGGGAAGCATCGGGGAGAAGGAGAGTGGAAACAGTGGAGGAGGGGCGAGGGGTGCAGCTGCAGCTCGGAAGCACAGGAGGTGCTGGTCGCCTGACATTCATCAGCGGTTCGTCAAAGCACTGGAGTCGCTGGGTGGATGCCATGGTGCGTGCATGTGTGCATGCATGTGTGTGCACGTGCATTTGTGCATGTGTGCCTGTGTGCATGCGTGTGTGTGCATGTGCATTTGTGCATGTGTGCATGTGTGCGTGTGTGCATGTGTGCATGTGTGCATGTGTGCCTGTGTGCATGCGTGTGTGTGCATGTGCATTTGTGCATGTGTGCATGTGTGCGTGTGTGCATGTGTGCATGTGTGCATGTGTGCGTGTGTGCATGTGTGCGTGTGTGCATGTGTGCATGTGTGCATGTGTGCATGTGTGCATGTGTGCGTGTGTGCATGTGTGCATGTGTGCATGTGTGCATGTGTGCATGTGTGCATGTGTGCATGTGTGCATGTGTGCATGTGTGCATGTGTGCATGTGTGCATGTGTGCATGTGTGCATGTGTGCATGTGTGCATGTGTGCATGTGTGCATGTGTGCATGTGTGCATGTGTGCATGTGTGCATGTGTGCATGTGTGCATGTGTGCATGTGTGCATGTGTGCATGTGTGCATGTGTGCATGTGTGCATGTGTGCATGTGTGCATGTGTGCATGTGTGCATGTGTGCATGTGTGCATGTGTGCATGTGTGCATGTGTGCGTGTGTGCATGTGTGCGTGTGTGCCTGTGTGCGTGTGTGCCTGTGTGCGTGTGTGCATGTGTGCGTGTGTGCATGTGTGCGTGTGTGCATGTGTGCGTGTGTGCATGTGTGCGTGTGTGCATGTGTGCGTGTGTGCATGTGTGCGTGTGTGCATGTGTGCGTGTGTGCATGTGTGCATGTGTGCATGTGTGCATGTGTGCATGTGTGCATGTGTGCATGTGTGCATGTGTGCATGTGTGCATGTGTGCATGTGTGCATGTGTGCATGTGTGCATGTGTGCATGTGTGCATGTGTGCATGTGTGCATGTGTGCATGTGTGCATGTGTGCATGTGTGCATGTGTGCATGTGTGCATGTGTGCATGTGTGCATGTGTGCATGTGTGCATGTGTGCATGTGTGCATGTGTGCATGTGTGCATGTGTGCATGTGTGCATGTGTGCATGTGTGCATGTGTGCATGTGTGCATGTGTGCATGTGTGCATGTGTGCATGTGTGCATGTGTGCATGTGTGCATGTGTGCATGTGTGCATGTGTGCATGTGTGCATGTGTGCATGTGTGCATGTGTGCATGTGTGCATGTGTGCATGTGTGCATGTGTGCATGTGTGCATGTGTGCGTGTGTGCGTGTGTGCGTGTGTGCGTGTGTGCGTGTGTGCGTGTGTGCGTGTGTGCGTGTGTGCGTGTGTGCATGTGTGCGTGTGTGCATGTGTGCATGTGTGCGTGTGTGCATGTGTGCGTGTGTGCATGTGTGCGTGTGTGCATGTGTGCGTGTGTGCATGTGTGCATGTGTGCATGTGTGCATGTGTGCATGTGTGCATGTGTGCGTGTGTGCATGTGTGCGTGTGTGCGTGTGTGCGTGTGTGCGTGTGTGCATGTGTGCATGTGTGCATGTGTGCATGTGTGAATGTGTGCATGTGTGAATGTGTGCATGTGTGAATGTGTGCATGTGTGCGTGTGTGCATGTGTGCGTGTGTGCATGTGTGCGTGTGTGCATGTGTGCATGTGTGCATGTGTGCATGTGTGCATGTGTGCGTGTGTGCATGTGTGCGTGTGTGCATGTGTGCGTGTGTGCATGTGTGCGTGTGTGCATGTGTGCATGTGTGCATGTGTGCATGTGTGCATGTGTGCATGTGTGCATGTGTGCATGTGTGAATGTGTGAATGTGTGAATGTGTGCATGTGTGCATGTGTGCATGTGTGCATGTGTGCATGTGTGCATGTGTGCATGTGTGCATGTGTGCATGTGTGCATGTGTGCATGTGTGCATGTGTGCATGTGTGCATGTGTGCATGTGTGCATGTGTGCATGTGTGCATGTGTGCGTGTGTGTGCGTGTGTGCGTGTGTGCATGTGTGCGTGTGTGCATGTGTGCGTGTGTGCATGTGTGCATGTGTGCATGTGTGCATGTGTGCATGTGTGCATGTGTGCATGTGTGCATGTGTGCATGTGTGAATGTGTGCATGTGTGAATGTGTGCATGTGTGAATGTGTGCATGTGTGCATGTGTGCATGTGTGCATGTGTGCATGTGTGCATGTGTGCATGTGTGCATGTGTGCATGTGTGCATGTGTGCATGTGTGCATGTGTGCATGTGTGCATGTGTGCATGTGTGCATGTGTGCATGTGTGCATGTGTGCATGTGTGTGCATGTGTGCGTGTGTGCCTGTGTGCATGTGTGCATGTGTGCATGTGTGCATGTGTGCATGTGTGCATGTGTGCATGTGTGCATGTGTGCATGTGTGCATGTGTGCATGTGTGCATGTGTGCATGTGTGCATGTGTGCATGTGTGCGTGTGTGCCTGTGTGCATGTGTGCCTGTGTGCATGTGTGCATGTGTGCATGTGTGCATGTGTGCATGTGTGAATGTGTGAATGTGTGCATGTGTGCATGTGTGCATGTGTGCATGTGTGCATGTGTGCATGTGTGCATGTGTGCATGTGTGCATGTGTGCATGTGTGCATGTGTGCATGTGTGCATGTGTGCATGTGTGCATGTGTGCATGTGTGCATGTGTGCATGTGTGCATGTGTGCATGTGTGCATGTGTGCATGTGTGCATGTGTGCATGTGTGCATGTGTGCATGTGTGCATGTGTGCATGTGTGCATGTGTGCATGTGTGCATGTGTGCATGTGTGCATGTGTGCATGTGTGCATGTGTGCATGTGTGCATGTGTGCATGTGTGCATGTGTGCATGTGTGCATGTGTGCATGTGTGCATGTGTGCATGTGTGCATGTGTGCATGTGTGCATGTGTGCATGTGTGCATGTGTGCATGTGTGCATGTGTGCATGTGTGCATGTGTGCATGTGTGCATGTGTGCATGTGTGCATGTGTGCATGTGTGCATGTGTGCATGTGTGCATGTGTGCATGTGTGCATGTGTGCATGTGTGCATGTGTGCATGTGTGCATGTGTGCATGTGTGCGTGTGTGCATGTGTGCGTGTGTGCGTGTGTGCGTGTGTGCGTGTGTGCGTGTGTGCGTGTGTGCGTGTGTGCATGTGTGCATGTGTGCGTGTGTGCATGTGTGCGTGTGTGCATGTGTGCGTGTGTGCATGTGTGCGTGTGTGCATGTGTGCGTGTGTGCATGTGTGCATGTGTGCATGTGTGCATGTGTGCATGTGTGCATGTGTGCATGTGTGCGTGTGTGCATGTGTGCGTGTGTGCGTGTGTGCGTGTGTGCGTGTGTGCATGTGTGCATGTGTGCATGTGTGCATGTGTGAATGTGTGCATGTGTGAATGTGTGCATGTGTGAATGTGTGCATGTGTGCGTGTGTGCATGTGTGCGTGTGTGCATGTGTGCGTGTGTGCATGTGTGCATGTGTGCATGTGTGCATGTGTGCATGTGTGCGTGTGTGCGTGTGTGCGTGTGTGCATGTGTGCGTGTGTGCATGTGTGCGTGTGTGCATGTGTGCATGTGTGCATGTGTGCATGTGTGCATGTGTGCATGTGTGAATGTGTGCATGTGTGAATGTGTGCATGTGTGCATGTGTGCATGTGTGCATGTGTGCATGTGTGCATGTGTGCGTGTGTGCATGTGTGCATGTGTGCGTGTGTGCGTGTGTGCATGTGTGCGTGTGTGCATGTGTGCGTGTGTGCATGTGTGCATGTGTGCGTGTGTGCATGTGTGCGTGTGTGCATGTGTGCATGTGTGCATGTGTGCGTGTGTGCGTGTGTGCGTGTGTGCGTGTGTGCCATGTGTGCATGTGTGCATGTGTGCATGTGTGCATGTGTGCATGTGTGCGTGTGTGCGTGTGTGCGTGTGTGCGTGTGTGCGTGTGTGCGTGTGTGCGTGTGTGCGTGTGTGCGTGTGTGCGTGTGTGCGTGTGTGCGTGTGTGCGTGTGTGCGTGTGTGCGTGTGTGCGTGTGTGCATGTGTGCGTGTGTGCATGTGTGCGTGTGTGCATGTGTGCATGTGTGCATGTGTGCATGTGTGCATGTGTGAATGTGTGCATGTGTGCATGTGTGAATGTGTGCATGTGTGCATGTGTGCATGTGTGCATGTGCATGTGTGCATGTGTGCATGTGTGCATGTGTGCATGTGTGCATGTGTGCATGTGTGCATGTGTGCATGTGTGCATGTGTGCATGTGTGCATGTGTGCATGTGTGCATGTGTGCATGTGTGCATGTGTGCATGTGTGCATGTGTGCATGTGTGCATGTGTGCATGTGTGCATGTGTGCATGTGTGCATGTGTGCATGTGTGCATGTGTGCGTGTGTGCGTGTGTGCGTGTGTGCGTGTGTGCGTGTGTGCGTGTGTGCGTGTGTGCATGTGTGCATGTGTGCATGTGTGCGTGTGTGCATGTGTGTGCGTGTGTGCATGTGTGCATGTGTGCATGTGTGCGTGTGTGCGTGTGTGCGTGTGTGCGTGTGTGCGTGTGTGCGTGTGTGCGTGTGTGCGTGTGTGCGTGTGTGCATGTGTGCATGTGTGCATGTGTGCATGTGTGCATGTGTGCATGTGTGCATGTGTGCATGTGTGCATGTGTGCATGTGTGCATGTGTGCATGTGTGCATGTGTGCATGTGTGCATGTGTGCATGTGTGCATGTGTGCATGTGTGCATGTGTGCATGTGTGCATGTGTGCATGTGTGCATGTGTGCATGTGTGCATGTGTGCATGTGTGCATGTGTGCATGTGTGCATGTGTGCATGTGTGCATGTGTGCATGTGTGCATGTGTGCATGTGTGCATGTGTGCATGTGTGCATGTGTGCATGTGTGCATGTGTGCATGTGTGCATGTGTGCATGTGTGCATGTGTGCATGTGTGCATGTGTGCATGTGTGCATGTGTGCATGTGTGCATGTGTGCATGTGTGCATGTGTGCATGTGTGCATGTGTGCATGTGTGCATGTGTGCATGTGTGCATGT